TACCCTCAAGCTCGAGGGCGTCGTTGATCTCCCTGAACATCGCCACCAAGTAATGTGAACGCTGCTCTTCTCTCTGTTGTCTACGTCGATCGTCGCCGGATGAGCTCTTCCAGTAGTTCACGTGCTTGCGCCCTAGACTTTGACATGCACGTGGTCTCGTTCGGATTGAGAAGGAAGACAACGTGCGGTCAACTCTGTCGCTCCAACCTCGCTCACCGGCTTCATCGGGAAGAGGCTGCACTTCTAAAGAACACCCATGGATATCAGCTTCGTGAGGCACTTCGGCACATCGTCGTAGTACCGTCGGGTCTGCCCACATAGAACTGCCGCGTTCAGCAACTAACATGACGGCTCCGCCTCCAGATGCTTGGGCCCGCACACGCCCCGCAAGACTACGTAGTCGCTGTTAGGGGCGCTGTCCTCGTTCAGCTCCTCGTCGTTCTGGGGGATCTGCCCGCAGTAGCTGGAACTTACCTTCCGTGAGTTGCCGCTTCAAGTCGCGGGCCTCCTTGTCGAACGCCTGGTCGTAGGCCAGCGCCTGAGATGCTGGCCAACCTTCTTCGCGCGCTGCTCGCATCGTAGTGGCCAACCTGAGTCGATGACCAAGAACTTGCAGTGGATGCGACGCCGCCTCTTGGCGTCCAGCAACTGCCCCTGCCGCCGCGGCAGGGGCCCTGCCCCGTCAATTGAGCTCCGGGGCCGCCGTCCAGTCGGGCGGCTCCTCGAACTGCACCTTCTTGCGCGGCGCCTTCGCCTCGCGCTGCTCCTTTGCGTCGGCAATGAAGTCCAGGCGCTCGGGCTTAGGCTGCAGCTCATCGATCGGGTAAAACGTTCCACTGGAAGACCAGGCCTCTACTTCCGTGAACATCGAACATGGTCGTAGCCAGTGCCCACTCCGCGTCGCCTTCAGGTTGTAACAGCTAGCTCCAACTTGCACCGCCCCGGCCCGCGTAGATGTAGGATGCCCGGTCCGCACTCGATGATCGCGTCGAGAGCCTTCGGCGAGCTGTTGCCGAGCAAGGCCAGCACGTCGCTGTTCGGGATGACCGGGGCCGTGCACGAGTTCAAGGCGCCGGTGCCTTCGCCCTCCCGCTCGATATCCTGCATCCCGGTCGGCATCTTCCAGCTGGCATGGCTGTAGTCTGGACCTTTTCCAACTCCATTAGCTTCGAGGCTCTCGACATGGCGCAACTTGTGTGGGATGCCAGTGTTGTGCTGCTTTGTCCGCTAGTTGCTTGGCCAAATTCTTTCCAACGAGGTCGCCGCGTGCGCCGGGGTCTATCCAGATGCCCATCTCGTTATTTTCGAGTCTAGTCCTTTCGTGCCCCAAGTAGTGCGTCTTGCACTGAGTGGCCAGTGTCCAAACAACTCGATGAGTTCCGCTGTCATCCTTGTCTGTGAAATCAGCTCCGCGCTGTTCGTCATGACTTTCACGTTCGATCTCATCCTGCTCGACCGTGTCCTCGTCCTTAGCTCCTCCATGTCGTGCTCCGTGCCCTCGTCGCAGTCCTGAACCCTCGCGCGGCCGGCGCAATCGCCGTGGCCGATGAAGTACGACTCCCACTCTGGGTCGAACGTGGACAAGTCGATCTCTAGCTCGGCCTCGATCGCGGGGTTCTCGGCGTCTCCGGGCGCGTTCTCCACCGTGTCCCAGCTGGCGGAGGTCGCCTGTGTCAAACTGCTCGGCGGCGTAGCTGCAATCGTCTTCGGAGGAGCCGTTGCGATGACCAGGCCGCCAATTCGGGAGGGATTATGCTTCGGCCTTGCCCCGAAAATGTTGGAAGCCGTAGGCGTCGGCGCCGATGCAGCAGCCGCCGGTTGGAGACCTGATGCCTGCGGCGACGCTGGCGGGCTCAGAGGCTTCGCCTTTGCGACTTCCGGCGCCGCCGATATCGCCGAGAGACCTAGGATCTGGCCCAGGCCGTAGGTCGCGCTAGCACGAACGAGCCCGAACGTCGGGAAGTTCATCATGGGAAATGCTGGGCTCCCACTCTCCGAAGATGCCGAACCGCTCGAAGCTGTCGGTGCCGATGGAGGCTCCCGAGAAGCATGTGGCGTCGCTGCTTTGGGTCCAACTGCGTCGTCTCGTGCATCTTCAATCGCAATCGCAGTCCTCGGCATTGCCGGTGCGATCGCGACTCCAGTGAAACTGTTCGAGTCTGCCACGCTCGCACTGCTCTCCAGCGCCTTGGGCGCAACGTTGTTCGTCGCGAAGGAGCTGACTGATCCTGCCCCGTGCGCTGGCGTCGCTGAACGTGTCCCGCTTGGTACCGAGACAGTGAAGCCAAACCATGGTACGCCAGCTCCTGCTCCGGCAAGCGGCCTCGGACCGTCGGTGATGAACGAGCCCTTGCCGCCCTTGTCCTGCTTGTGCGGGCAGTCCTTGATCAGATGGAACTCGCTCTCGCAGCCCTTGGTCAAACACTTCGTGACCTTGCCGCCCCGGCCGATGGGGTTGCGCCGCCCCTTACCTTTGAAGTGGTAGCCCTCGCCGCCGCGCTGGCCAAACGCACCCCGAAAAGGGGATCAGCGAGCCCTTGCACTTGCTTCTGCCGAAGCGCTGGTACCTCGTCGGGCGCCCAGTGAACCTCATCCAGCGCTTCTTGTGGAACGCGTAGTTCTGGTAGAAGTACTGCTGGATCACGTCGTCATCGCGGCCGACTGCACCGGGGAAGCCGCTGCCGTCCAGGTCATCACCGTCGTCCTCGTTCGTGTCCGTGTCCTTGTCGTCGGCCTCACTGTTCAAGACGGTGCTCCACGAATCAGGCTGTGGTGGTACTGCGGTCGGTGCTGGCGTCGGCGTCCATCCTCAGGGCCCCGTACACCCGGACACGCTAGACCCGGACACCCAACATCCCTCGAAACCAATTTTTCCAAACGGCAGCACGAACAAAATACTGCACTGCAACATTTCCAAAATAAACCCGGACACAGGCCCCAAAAGCCTGCAATATCTCCCTAAACCCGGACACAAACCCGAATCCTGCAGTGCAACAAACAAAACATGCACGGGTGCTGAAAAACGTGACTTTGCAGGAAAGGATGTCGTTTCTTTGGTTTTCCGTGTCCTGGTTTATCTGTGTCCTGGTCTCTGGGGGCCTGACATCCTGTCGTGGGAGCCCAGCCGGACGATGACGCAGCCGACGCTTGGTAGGCACCTCCCGTCATCATGCCAGTCCCGAAGCCTGCCTGGCGATCGTGACCATCGTGATGTAGCTGTCCGCCGCAACCGAAGTCGAAGGTCGGGTAGTTGAAGTGGCCGCCCTTGCCCTTGCCGCTCACGCGGTTGATGGACATCCGGCCCTTCTCCAGCACGTGTCCGTACCTCCTGATGCACTCCCCGAACTCCGAGAACTGCTGCTCCGTGCGCGGCAGGCGGCCTCTGAAGTGGATGAGCAGCTCGTTCCGCTCCTGCGGGCTGCAGTTCAAGGAGTTCATCAGCGTCCAAGCCAGCCCTTGCGGGCCCATGGCGAAGTTGCCGAGGGTGGCCGCGCGGCGTCGCACAACCTCGAACCTGCTCAGCGTCTGATCGATGTTCTCATGACCGCGCCTGGTGAAGCCCAGCAAGTCCTGCGTCGCACGCAGCTCGGACTCCTCGCCCAGCGGCGCGCAGGACCTCGAGAGCACCAGCAGCAGCATCTGGAGCCCCGAAAGCTGCATGTTGCCGTTCGCGTCGCCTGGGTCCACGAAGGCGCCGTCACGCAGCTGGTCCTGTGGAGTCTCTCGCGCTAAGCTGCGGGCCGCTCCGCCCAGGCGTAGTGCGAATGCCAGGCCCTGTTGCTCTGGTATGACCTCCCGAGCTGCCGCCGCCGCCCACATCGTCACATCCGTGAGCCAGAACCTGAACGGGTAGGCGTCGTCCTGCTCCAGGCTCCAGGCTGGCGGCACCTTCAGCGAGCCCAGCACTTCGAACTGCAGGTACCCCATCGCGTCGATGGAGATCTCCGTCTGCGTCTCGCGACGCTCCTGGTGTAGTCGTGCTCGTGAGAGCTGAAGCGGGTGTTCGTGAACTCGGAGTTGTCCTGCTCCGCCTCGGCGGTGACCGACTCCGTCCTGTGGATCACCCCGATGATCCCGTCGATGCGCAGTGGTGGCGCGTGAGCCCCAGTCCCGCGTGGACCGAGGCTCCGCTACCAAGTCGAGAAGAACCATGTCCTCTCTACGCCGGCACGCCGCCAACGTCAGATCATCTTCCGCGCCCTCGGGCGCAGGCCACACCGTCACGCGCAGCCTCCTGCGTTGGGCCTTGAGCCAAGGCAGCAGCAGGTCGTCGTCGGTGACCTGCACACCGTCGCTGCCCAAGCTCTCGTTCCCCACGTCCCACCCCAGCTTCTCGACTTCCTCCTCCTCCTCCTCCGCCTCCTCCTCCCCCAGAATCCGTCGGCATCGAATCGGGAAATCGGGTCGAAATGAAATCTGCGTCGGATATGGCCGCATCGGCACGGAGTCGAAATCGAATCGGATCGGCTGCGCCAGGGTGCACACCAGCGCCACGCAAACATCAGGCCGCATCGGATCGTCTGACCATCGGAATCGATTCGTTTCTAGCCAGCCGGAATCGATATCGAATCGGACCGATCGGATCGGGACGGACCCTGCTCCGCCCGGCGGCCCGTTGCAGCCCCCCCACGCGCACCGGACCCACCTCCTAACGCGACCCAGCCCTCCCACGCCCAGCGCTGGAGAGGCTCACTCTGCGCACCCGCGCGATCCACCCCCGACGCTTCTGGATCAGCTCTGCCGAGTTCTCCCACCGATTACAGCAGGAGCTCGACCACAAGAAACCTGCCACAAGAAACCCTACCCTGAGACCACAGGGCGCCCATTGATTTCTTTACTGTGGGAGCGTCACGCCTTGCATAGCAGAACCATCGAACCCCAAGAAACCCGGGGCATCCTGGAGGCAAGCAGGGTGTTTCTCGGCATGGGCTTCCACTGCACGGATCACCTCGGAGTACCGAGTTCTCCCCCCGCCCCTCCCCCCCCCCTTCTTCCCTGGCCTGCTCGTGTTCGCCGTGGCGAACCCAGACAGCACGAGGCCGCAGTCCGACCCGAGGCTCTCTGGCCCGAGCGGGCTCGGCGACGGTCTGCGCGCAGAGCTCGCGGACGCCACGCCGCACGTGGAGCTCGCAGGCCTCGCCGCTGGTCGCCGCTCGTCGTCGCCGCTGTCGTTTCCTGCTCCCTCCTGCCTCCTCTCCTCCTCCTCATCTTCGGCCGCTGCTCGTCCTCCTCCCTCCTCCCTCCCTCCTCCCTCCCTTTCCCTCCCCCAACCTCCTCCTCCGACTCCTCCTCCTCCCCCTCCTCCACATCCACCTCCTCCGCCTCCTCCTCCTTCTCCCTCCTCCCTCCTCCCTCCTCTTTTCTTCTTCCTCCTCCTCCTCCTCCTCCTTCTCCTCCTGCCACCTGCCGTCGTCGCGGCGGCGTCAGCGTCGCGCCGCCGTCGCCGTCGTCGCCGGCGTGGCTGTCGCCGTCGACGCCGTCCCGCTGAGCTGCGCCCCTGGCCCTCGGGGTCGAGGAGAGAGGGGGGTGACTGTCTCTTCGGAAGAGTAGGGAAAGGGAACGGGCGAGGAGGGGAAGTGAGAAGGAGAAGGCGTTCTCAGAAAGGACCTCTCAGAAGCCATCGCGCTTTCTGAGAAGTGCTGTGTCTTCAGGGGAAGGCTTCGAAAATTTCTCAGAAAGCCGGGGGACTTCCGGGCCTTCTGAGGACGCCCGCCCCTGCTCGCTTGCCCCCCGGGCTCGTCGCCGACCTCCAGGAGAAGGAAAACACTGCCGAAGTAGAGACGTTCGGAGCTCCGCGTGGATTTCTTGGATCTGCGCTGGACCCTCCCCGTCTGGGGCGCGGAGCGCGACGGGCGCGGCGCCAGAGGCGCCGCCAGAGGGGGGGCCCAGCGCCGATCTGGGAGATCCGCGCGGAGCTCGGAGCCTTCATGCTTATGCAGGATGACATTCTGCATGTATTTCTTACTCGATTCGAGAGGCATCTGGACGTGTTTGGCCCTGGTCGGGGCTCCTGGAGGCCTCTGGGGACCTCCAAGGGTCAGGATCCAGAGCGCAGGCAAAACTTGCCACGACGCTGTCGCTGGCGACGCTGTCGCTGCCGACGCTGTCGTCGTCGTCGTCGTCGTCGTCGTCGTCGTCGTCGTCGTCTCCTCCTCCTCCTCTTCCTCCGCCTCCTTGACGTCGACGTCCTCGCTTCGATAGTGGTTGGGCGCTTCTGGCGCTCCTCGCCGCCAAGGTTGGACCAACTCTTGCCATGATGGACCCCAGGAAAGGGTCTGGGACCGAGTGTGAGAGGATTCTGGTCCTCCTTTACATCCTCTGCTGCTGCTTCTCCTCACCTTTTTGGCGTTTTTCTCTCAACCCTCCTGTGAGGTGGGTCCTCGTTTTGAATCCGCAGCGCCGCGCAATTCCTCCTCTTCCTCCTCTTCCTGATCCTCCTCCTGCTTCGCTTCGTGACCCCACCGGGAGCTCCACCGAAAGCCCCGATGGCTGCGTCCGCATGGTGACCCGACCCATGTTGGTACACCCCTCACACGCCTCGCGACCCCATCTGGAGCTCCACCGACGGCCCCAGTGGCAGCGTCCGCATGGGGCTCCGTCACATTTCGGCACAGCCCTCACGCGTGCTCCACCGAAAGCCCCAGTGGCTGCGTCCGCATGGTGCCCCGCCTGATTTCGGCACATCCCTCACACGCTTTGTGGCCCCATAGGCAGCTCCACAGAAGGCCCCGGTGGCTGCGTCCGCGTGGTGACACGCCACATTTCGGCACACAAGCACAAGCACAAGCACAAGCACAAGCGCAAGCACAAGCACACCACACAGACAACACCGCAACCACAAGCACGCATACAAACACACATTAACTGAAACACAAGCACACAGACAGGTACGGACACAAACATAACAACGACAATCACAACACACAGACACGGACACGGACAGATCACAGACACGAGCACAAACACAAGCACAAACACGATCAGACAACCAAGCACAAGCACAGACACAGCCATAGCATCACCAAGCGCAGGCACAAGCATCACCATCACGAACACAGGCACAACCATAGCCACACACAAACACAAGCACAAACACAAAGACAAACACAACCATACATATAAGCACAGACACATTGACAAACACAAACATAGCAATAACCACAACCACAACCACAACCACGAGCACAAACACAAACACGAACAAGAACACAAGTACACACCCCTCACACGTCTCGTGGCCCCCACATGATGCTCCACGAGGGCCCCAGTGGCTGCGCTCGCATGGCACCGCCGCGCCCATTTCAGCACCCCCCTCACACGTTTCGTGGCCCCCACATGGAGCTCCACCGAGGGCCCCAGTGGCTGCGCTCGCATGGCACCGCCGCGCCCATTTCGGCAAACCTCTCGCACGTTGCGTGGCACCATATGGAGTTCCCCCGAGGGCCCGAGTGGCCGCGCTCGCATGGCACCACCGCGCCCAATTCGGCATACCCCTCACCCCTCACAAGTTTCGTGGCCCCATAGGGAGCTCCACCGAGGGCCCCAGTGGCTGCGCTCACATGGCACCGCCGCGCCCATTTCGGCACACCCTCACACGTTTCGTGGCCCCCAAATGGGGCTCCACCGAGGGCCCCATTGGCTGCGCTCGCCTGGCACCGCCGCGCCCATGTCGGCAAACCCCTCACAGTTTGCGTGGCACCATATGGAGTTCCCCCGAGGGCCCGAATGGCCGCGCTCGCATGGCGCCGCCGCGCCCATTTCGGCACACCCCTCACACGTTGCGTGGCACCGTCGGGAGTTCCCCCGACTGCCCCAGTGGCTGCGCTCACATGGCACCACCGCGCCCATTTCGGCACACCCCTCACACGTTTCGTGGCCCCATAGGGCTCTAAGCTGCACCGAGGGCCCCAGTCGCTGCGCTCGCATGGCGCTACCGCGTGCATATCGGCACACCCCTCACAAACTTCGTGGCCCCATAGGGAGCTGCATCGAGGGTCCCAGAGGCTGCGCTCGCATTGCACTGCCGCACAAATTTCGGCACACCCCTCACACGCGTTCGCATGCGCCCACCGCGCAAGCTTCGGTACGTCCCTCACACGTTACACGTTGCGTGGCCCCAAAGGGAGCTCCACCGACGACGATACTCACAAGTGGGTTACTCACAACTGCATATCTTTCGATCTTTCGCCAGGCTAATTGTTTTATCAACCTCTTCGTCCTCCTGCTGCGCTCAGCCCGCAAGGCATGAAGCCGAGGTCTCAACACATGCACATGGATTCGCGTGCACAGAGGAGGAGGAGGAGGAGGAGGAGGAGGAGGAGGAGGAGGAACCTTGCCTAGTCCGAGGCCTCCTCGCGGTAAGGATCGGATCACGACATCCTCCTCCTCCTCCTCCTTCTCTCTCCTCCTCCTCCTCCGCTTCCCCCCTCCCCCCCCTTCTCCCCTCCCCCTCCCCCTCCCCCTTCCCCCCTCCCCCCCACCTTTCCCTTCTGCTCCTCCCTCCTCGGCGCCGCCCCCGCAGGCCTGGCCTGGCAGGAGGGGGAGCCGGCAGCCTCCTGTCGCCGTCCTCGTCCTCCCGCTGCGTGCAACAGCCGCCCACGGCCGCCCCCATTGGCGGGCTGTGCGCTGCCGCCCTCTCGCGGGCCGCGGACCGGCCGGGCCGACGCCGTCCCGGCGCGGCCGCCTCGAGCCTCGCTCCTCGCTTCTCTCTCCGCTCTGCTTGGCCCCCTCGCCCTTGGCTTGCTGACCCCTTGCCGTCCTACAGTCGGCCCAGGTTCGCAGGTCGACCCCGCCAAAGCAAGGGTGCCCTCGTGTCCTGCGTCTCGCGGCCCATGCCTCCTGCGTTCCTGTGGCGACGTGGCCCTCGGAAGGGCCTTGTGCCCTCTCGCGTGTCCTGTCCAATCGAGCCCAGCCAGCACCGGGCGGGAAGCCGAATCGGATCGAAGGCCGAAGGAGCCCCCACCCTGCCAAGTGGATGGGCGATCCAATTTTTCTTCGACTCTCGAAAGGGTGTCGCGGCCGCAGTTTCAGCCGGCCTGCGCCGGCCAGGTCTGGTCACAGGCCGTTTTCACCTGAGGGTGTTTCGCTACACGGGGTTCTTGTCCACCCGCGATCGAATCGGAACGTGCGTCGGATCGGGCCGCATCGTCACGGAACCAAATCGGATGGGCCACGCCAGGATGCAAAATAGCACCGTATGCGAGCCACGGGCCGCATCGGATCTTCGGAACATCTGGGATCGAAAGAGAGCGCCGCCAAGCCCGCAGACTCGCTGCCGTCATGATTACGCGTCTGGTCGTGGCTCCTTTTGTAAGGGATCCGCAATGAGGGTTGCTTGTTCATGCTCAGTAAGGGGTGCGTGGTAAGGAGTCCTTGGTAAAAAGGGGTCCGTAGTAATGCCTTGTCCAATCTGGATTCCGTAGTGAAGACTCTTCAGGCGGACTTAATCAGGTTCCTTGGTAAGGACCTGTCGCTATGGGACCAGTAACGCGGATTCCTTCAGTAAGGGATCCTGAGGCAAGGTTCCGGCACTACGTATTCGATAATCAGAATCTGCAGTGCGGGCCCCCCGTCACGGGGAGCCCTTACCACAGATGCCTGCAGTCAGGACTCCCTCAACAAAAGGGCCACTGTGATAAAGCTTCCGCAATGATGGTCCCTTTCGTCAAGACCCCCGAGTAAAAAAGGCGCTGCTCACGGGGACTCACGCTCCTGATGGAAGGTACCTTTCTTACGCACTATTTGAACAGAAAAGAGTCCCTTAGATTCTGCGTTCCGAATACGGACCCCGAGGGTGAAGCATGCTCTTTAAAGCGGGGAGTTGAAAAAGCACGCCCCTCGACGAAAGAGCCGTTTATGCAGAATCTGTTCAGAAATAATCTTTTCGTAAGGATGCGTTTGGCGCGTTGGCCGGATAAGAAGCAAATGACTTGCGTTAATGCTCCTAAGTGAGAATGGATCCATCGGTCCGGCCCCTTTTAATGCACATTCTTCCATTCAGATGCCTGCACAAAAGGGTTCCCTCAATTTGGCCCCCTGTAATACTGATTCTGCAATATGGATCCTGGCGTCCGGAATCCGCAGCAAAAGGTGTTGCGGGATAAAGGATCCTCAGCACGGGCCCATGAAATATGGGATCCTGAAATCGGGTTCCTCTAATCAGCATTCTCTACTACGTGCCCCTTATAATGCGACACTCCGAACAAAGGCCCCTTGAACAAATCATCCCTACGAATGAAGAGTCCTTTGTCCGGATCCTTTGGCGAATTGCTATTTCTTCCTAGCCTTTGCAATGCGAGTTCCTTGTGTAATGATGCCTTCCAGAAGGGACCCACATTGAGGATGCCTTTAATGCAGGTGCCGTGATAGAGAATGGGTCCTTAGCCTGGGCCTCTCGTAACAATGGGATCCTCAATCCAACTGCCTGCGCCAAGGGTTCCCTCAATTGGGACTTCATGCGCTGCAGATGCCGCAATAATGGATCCGGTTGTCAAGATTCCTCCGCAAGGATGCCTCTGAGACGGGATCCATGGTACGGACACCTGTGGGGCATTTAAATTAAGGATCCCATTTTTTTCGTATGGGGTCCTTAATGAGGACCCCTCGGCTACGGGGTCTCCAGTGAGGTCTGCAAAAATAGTACAACGGGATCCTCGTCAAGGATGCCTGTAGTAACGAGTTTTTTTAATACAGGTGCTTGTCAGAATGGGGCTCTAAATGAAACGTCTGTCAGTAATGAATCCGTAGTCAGGTTTTCTTTATCGACGATACCTTGCTAAGGATGGCGTTCGCTTGGGTTGCGTAGCGCAGGCCTTTTCGTCAGTGACGCAGAATAAACATTGATTGTCGTAAGCATTCCTGAAGCAACTCGCGCTTAGTGAATGACCACTTCGTATTAATTAGACCTACAGAGATGTAAACGGAATAAGGTTATGTTAGCGTGGATTCAAACACCCCACAAAATATGGACATGGTTTCTCTCTCGCTCTCTTTGTCGTTTTCTTTCCCAGCATTTCTCTCCCCCTGTCTCAACCCAGCCAATGAATCACAGTCGATTGCCAGCTTGTTTTTGCTGTCGGCGATGCTTAATTCAATTCCTTTCGTGGCACATTTGCGCGCTGATTCGCGCTGTGACCGGTACGTAGCTAGCCCGTTGCGATACATATGGACTCCTTTTTGTGGAGGGGGTTGCACCTACATTCTTTTTGTGTGTGGGGTGGGGGGTGGGAGGGCACACATCGATTCCCTCTGTTGGTAGTCACATATGCGTTTCCCTTGCGGAGGGGAGTTGCACATAAATTCCTCCTGCGGAGGGGTGCACGTATATCCCCCTTGTGAAGGAGTCACGCAAAGTTTCTTTGCGCGGGGGGGTCGCAATGATTTTTTTTGCGTCAGAAGAACGAAAGATCTGGCCCAGGGTGGGCGTCCCAGGAAAGCAAATGAGGAATCTTTGGAATCAGTAATCAGCTTTCTGTTGAACTCTCACCCTGGAAGAATCATTAATGTTGCTCCACCACCACCACCGGTGCACATTATGCATTCTCAACTGGAATGCTCCTCTCAGGGTTCGAGCCCTGCATTGATAGGGGAGAATCATTTTCTTCAAACTGGGTTGCTGGGCGCCGAACTGTATCCCGCCTGATATTTCCTCACGAAGTATTAAAAAAAAAACCGCGCCTTGGCGAGAAACATCCTCACATGTTATGCAAGAGCCACGCCCTTGCTATGACATTTCTCACGATGTAGTAAAGACTCGCGCTATCGCTTGAGACTTCCTTGCGATTCGTGCAGGACCCACGCTTCAGCAGCCCGCCTGCTCGACCTGGCCACCGGGCCCGCCTCCCCGACCCGCCCGCTAGGGTCTCCCCGCCCGATCTGCCCGTCAGGTTCGGCCACGGGCATTCTGCTCCTAGCCCCCGCCCCTGCTAATTCTTGTCGTGCTCCATCCTCCTCCCTCCCCCTTCCATCCGTCCTCGCTTCCGCGGTATGAGGGGCTGCGCTAAATGCGCGTGGCAACTAAGGGAGATATGCGCCCAAAAGGGGTACGATCGAAGACGAAGAGGACGGGTATCGAGGGTTCGGGAACTGCGTGTTTGATGGCACCCGAGAATGTATGATCGAACCGTATTAACATGACTATTGCTGTTGTTGCTATTGTTGTGTTTGATGTTGGCGTTGTTTTATGTGTGTGTTTGCTCTTGATGTTGTTGCTGTTGTTGTTATTATTGCTGTCATCGTCATTATTGTTGTTGTTGCATCATGATTGCCCCCAAAAACAACTATAGTTGATCCCCCCTGCCCAATAACCGTTGTACGTTTCAATCGAAGTGCTTCTCAAGGGGCTCGCATCCTTTGTCTTGTAGAACGGCAAACAGAAATGCCACCAAATTGTGCCTTTGGCTCCCGGTTTGCAGCAGCAGCGGCTCCCGCCTGATACTTCTTCACAGGTGTTCTCCCAAATCGCGCTCTTGCGCGGGAGTTTCTTGCAATTTATCTAAACGCCGTGCCCTCGACTCTCAGGAGTCACGCTCTCGCTGTGGATTTCCGCGCGATTGATTTGGCATTCGCGCTACCGCTCGAAGAGTTCCTGGCAATTAATGCAGGACGCAGGCTTCAGCAACCCGCATGCCCCTTGTCCCGTCCTTCCACCCGTCCTCTCATCTCTGCCTTATGGGCTGCACGACATACGCCTCGCAGGTAAGAAAAATATGTACCCCCAAGGAGTGCGATCGAAGACGAAGAGGGCGGGCATTGAGGATTTAGAGAATTCGTATTGGATGGCACGCGAGAAGGTCAGAGCGAACAATTTAACAATGAGTGTTGTTTCTGTTGCTGCTGTTGTCATTGTGTTTGCTGGTGGTGCTGCTGATGTTGTTGCTGTCGTTATTGTTGGTCTTATAAGTATTTTACTGACCTCTCACGACTGGAACACAATCATTGTTGATTCCCCCCTCCGGTGACCATTTTGTTTTTCAATTGATGTGTTTCCGCCAGGGCTCGCACCCGGATTTTTAGCAGGTGAAATCGCTCGGCTCAAACTGGGTCCCTGGCCCCCGAGTTACAACCACAATGGCTCTCGCCTGATACTTCCTCACAATTGACTCCCAAATCGCGCGCTCGCGTGGGACGTCCACGCAATTCAAATACGCATCGCGCTCTCGCGTGGGTTTTCCTTGCAATTTATTCAGGCGATGCGTCCTCGGCGCTCAGGAATCAAGCTCTCGCTTCGGCTGTTCTCACGATTTACTTGGGAATCGCGCTATCGCTCGAGACTTCTTCGCAATTCATGCAAGACCCACGCTTCAGCAACCCGCCTGCTCGACCTCGTCGCCTGGGCCCGCCTTCCCGACCTGCCCGCTATGGGTCTGCCCACCCGATCTGCCCGTCTGGTTCTACCACTTGTTTTCTGTTCCTTGTCCCCCTCATGTTAATTCCTCTCGTGTTCCATCCTTCTCCCGCCCCCTTTCATCCGTCCTCTCCTCCCTTGTTTTAGGGGCAACGCGACATCCACGTGGCAGGTAAGGAACCCGACCCCCAAAGGAAATACGACGATCGAGTATGGAGAGGGCGGGTATCGAGGATTTGGGATGTACGTGTTGAGTGGCACGCGAG